GCATGTGCCCTGACTGGGAATCGAACAGGCAACCCTTTGGTTTGCAGACTTGCACTCAATCCACTGAGTCACACCGGCCTCTTGCCTTTAGTGTCTGTCATCTATTTCTATTTCCTTTTATGAACTTTTAAAAATTCCAGGTCTGGAAATATTAAAACTTGATTTTACAGACTCCTTTGAATGACTATTCTGGATGTAAATTAGGGATCACCAATGAGATGCCTGCAGTGAGCCTTAGAAGTCAGGCAAAGATGATAAAATAACAGACTAAAATTCATTCATTAATTTACTCAACACTCATCCATCTGTATTTACTTCAATGCATATTTTTTCTAGATGCAATAGAAAAAAAGCCCTCTCTGTAAAAAGATCATAGTTTAGTGGAGAAAGAAGATCATTGATTTGTCTGGGCAGAGTACCCAATGAGTGGAACATTGGGTTAAATAAATTCAAAGAAAAAATAGTCAAATATATCACTGAAACAATAGCAAAATTTAATCCTCATTAAAAGTACTTTAGGCAGAGCTTCTCATTTCTGAACCTGATGGTATAAATAATTCAGATGACCTTTTTGTGGACAACAATAAAAAATTTTTAAAGTCTGTACAAGACTTTAAAAAATAACTTTAAAAAGATCAAGAGCTAAAAACATAGTAGAAAACAATGAAAATAGCCTAATTTTGATAAAAGTTGGTAATACAGGGTAAACAGTATGTTGGGACAAGAAAATTTTTTATGCCCTCAGAGCATTTGAAAATATTTTCCCTTGGGCTTTGACTAGAAGCTCTATGGGATTAAAGAAATACAAGTCAAAACTCAGGGCCAACCAAAAGTGTGGCATATTGTAGAAAGACCCTTCCAATTTTAAGGGACCCTACAGGAATATATCCACAGTATAAACACAGTATAACACCAACAAATCTAAACCTGACCCCTCCCTCTAACTCCAGGGAATTATATAGAAAAATCTCTGGTGTGAAGTAGAGCAGAAGAAAATTAAAGAAACGATACCTGGGAAATTGTACCTACTGATTGGTCCTCATGTGTGTTTGTATTTTGACTATTCATAAATTGAATTGCAAGGAATCTCAAGCCATGAACTTGGTTTGTTTTGGTCCCCTACTGATAGTGTTTCTGGAATGCTGGCCGGAACTAATGAAAATCTGTTTTTGAAACATGGAACATATAACATTTGCTCTGAGGACACACTACAAATAAAAATGTAAGGGCAGTCAAACATGTAAGCCACACAAAGAAACAAAGACAGCATGAATAAGGTTCAGAAACAATGCAGAAGAAACTGACCCACACAAACTTCACATATTGGAGGTATCAGACAGATTTAAAAATCAGTTATATTTACTAGATATAAATAATAAATGACATACTTGAAAATATCTGCATAGAACAGATTGAAATGGTACACTGGATTCCAGGAAAAAAAATGAAACAAAGTTATCAAAATCAAGACATAACCTGAAAAATATAATGAAGTTCAAAAATAGAAAATAAGTCACCTACAGGTAAGGAAAATAGGCTTCAGACTTACTCTCATCAACCTTCAATACTAGAACACAATGGAAATATTTACCAGGTGCTGAAGGAAAGATATTGTGGCTCAATAATTTTATATCTAGCCAAGATGTTGCTCAATACAAAGATAATGCAGCAAAGAGAAAAGAATTAATAAAATATGCCTTTAGCACTCATGAGTGCTTATTGTAAAAAAACTACTTAAGGATGAAATTTAGCCAACTTATAGAAGAATATAATCATGATGGAAGAACTAATGTAATATTTTATGTCAACAAATCTCTAAAGAAAAGAAATTTGACTGAAGAATTTTATACCCAGCTAAACTGTACTTGTCAAGTATATGAGAATTCAATACAGCACATATAGATTCATCTTTAAAGCACTATAACTAATGAAATTCAACAAACAAAAGGTTGAAAAATATATACGTGGTTGAGGTCTGGGGAAGCTGGGATAAAATGACAGTAAAGAATGCATTTCATTCCAGTCTGAGCATACCAGTTTATCTCAATTCCCTCCTGAAACATCATCTAAGCAATAGCGAGCAAAGATATAAAATAAGTGGCCCTATAAAGACAAAAAGAGTGGGAGAAGAATAAATAAACATCAGGGAGACAAGTCAACAAATGCCTTCAAAATACTAGCAGAGAATAACCCTGGCTGGTGTGGTTCAGTGGATTGAGTGCCAGCCTGCGAACCAAAGGGTCACCAGTTTGATTCCCAGTCAGGACACATTGCAGGCCAGGTCCCCAGTGGGGGACGCACAGTAGGCAACCACATGTTGATGCTTCTCTCCTTCTCTTTCTTTCTCCCTTCCCTCTCTAAAAATAAATAAGTAAAATCTTAAAAAACAAAATACTAGCAGCAAGTAATTCCTAACTTAAAATTCCATATCAAAGAAAATAAAAATTTGATTTTATAAAATGAAATCAAACTTAGGAGAAAGACAAAAGAAATTCCCAGAATGCTGGCTAAAGCAAGTTCCAAACTGCCAGCTATGCAATTGATCTACAGATCAAATAGTATACAATTGAGCAGGAGTCCGAATAGTTCTGGGATGAATCCAAGAAAAAAATAATGGAATTGAGAGATTTCTTGATGAGTTTAATAGTACAATGAGGAGTTTAGACTTAGAAAGTATGAGGATATATTAAAAATATGTAAGTAAGAAAAGTAAAGTGAAATGAGGCAGTTATTTACTTGAGGTAAAGAAAAATAAAATTTCAGTACATCATGAGATTCAGGGATAAGCGATATTTATATAGTCATAATTCTATAAACTATCAAAACAGAATTTTTAATGACATTGTTTTGAGAGAGGATGGGGTAGAGGAAATGTGTGTGTGTGTGTTCATGTGAATGCCACTTAAGAAAATAAATAAGTGGACCATATCTAAAATTAAAATTTGCAAAAAAGCATTTATAAGCATATTATTTAAAAATATATAAGTAAATATCATGAAAAAGTTATTACCTCTATACAGACTTGAATAAAATTGAAAGATTTGTAGCATTGTATGACAAATTTTTTTTTAAATAGGATACTATCTTTTTTAAAAAAGATTTTATTTATTTATTTTTTAGGGAGGGAAGGGATGGAGAGAGAGAGAGAAGAGAGAGAGAAAGAGAGAGAGAGAGAGAGAGAGAGAGAGAGAGAGAGAGAGAGAGAGAAACATCAATGTGCGGTTGCTGGGGGTTATGGCCTGAAACCCAGGAATGTACCCTGGCTGGGAATGGAACCTGGGACACTTTGGTTCCCAGCCCGTGCTCAATCCACTGAGCTACGCCAGCCAGGGGTATGACAAATTTTTAAAGTATAAAGTATCTAAACAAGTATGGGATTTATCCTTTTAATGTGCATTGTAAATGTTATAAACACAATAAAGTAACTGTGTGTAACAAAAAGTGTAAAGTGAAGTGAGAAGAGGGTGAAAGTGTAAAAAGAAAGTGTAAGGCAGTTAGGTTCTGTTAATACAATAATTTTGTTTTTAACCTTGTAGGGATTATTTATTTAAGCTTAAACAAGTTCTATAGTCTCATATTATTTTGTCATTATATTCAAGTAAAATCTGATAGTCTTAATTATGAAACTAGTTATTTATTATAGGTCCATTTTACAACATTATTTCCATGTATTAACTTATTCTTATATGAAGTCATATAAATATTTTTAAAATAATGTTGACTTAATATTAATGATAACTATTTCTGAGTGCTAGAATAATGAAGCTAATTTGCTTTCTTTTTCTTGTTGAATATGTTTCAACCATATGAATATATATTAATAGAATAAGAGTCATCATTTATATACTCAAAACCACTTATGAAAAAATCATAAGTCTATCAATGTTTTTCTTTTTTTTTCTATTAGCAGGCATTGTATCCTTTAAAATTATAGCAGGTGGTGTAATTAAATGCTATCAATTTTGAAAGAAAATACTCAACTTATAATACATCCAGCTGAAATATTAGTTCTCCTGAGGAAATATAACAGTGTTTTTTTAAAGATTTTATTTATTTTTAAAGAGAGGGGAAGAGAGGAAGAAAAAGAGAAACATTGATGTGTGAAAGATACATCAATTGTATGCCTCTCACACACTCCCAGCCAGGCACCTGGCCTGCAACCCAAACATTCGCCCTGGAATTGAACAGAAACCTTTTGGTTCATAGGTGGGCACTCAGTCCATTGAGCCACACCAGCCAGGGCATGAAAGTATTTTTAAAACAACTACAGGAATGCAGTAATTTACGAGGCAACAAAATTTTTGCATAAATGAAAATTATTTTTAAAACTGAAAGCCATCATTTACAATGGACTCATGCTGATGGTAATTATAAAGCACTACTTAATCATAACAAGCACTCTTAATCATAACAAGATATCAATAAACAAGCTCAAATATCAAGAATCTGAAACTTCCAAATATCTTACTTTCAAAGCTGGAGAAACATGATTGCTCTGCTATTATATGAACATGCAAAATATGAGGGAACAAAACCACAATAAAACACCTAGAAACTTAGAATGTGAAATACTCCAATCGATTGGCATAACTATAAATATGGCAATAATTATGAGTGTGTGGCCATGTAAGCTATTTCTGTGAATGAAAAGGGGTTAAGAAATAATACATTAATGAATATTGTCATTTGTCCTGTCTTGTTAAGAGAAAATTTCCAATTGAATTCAAATTAATTTTTAGAGTTTTCCTTGGTTACCCTACGAACCCCTCCACCCATAAAGTTGGGACCCTTGGTTTGAGGAACTTGAACTCGCTGATCCCTAAGCATCCTTTCAGATACACCTCAAACTGGTAGTGCAGAGGCAGGGTCCCCATGCCCAGGCCGCTGAAATTGAAAAGGGAAATCCAGGCTATCCTTGAAGGCGGGATTTTTGTCCATGATGCTCCCAAACTCTGTATCTGGGAAAAATTAGAGATGTTACAAAACAAGACTGCATCCTGATGAGATTTCTAGTTGAATACCAAGTGATTCCGGAAGCTGGCACTTTCCTCCATTTCCTCTCTAGTGCCCTGGGGAGGGAGGTAGGGGACAACTGGATTCAAGAATTTGAACTCTTTTGACCCGGAGCCTCTGGTCAGGCATATCTCGTACTGGTAGCTCTGGGACAAGGTCCCAGTACCGCTGACGTCCACCAGGTGGCCCGGAAAGTGGCTCTCAGGCACCGAGCAGCCACCCACCAGGCCAGCCCTGCTCCTTCTGCACAGCCGCACTGCGATGAACGCCAGCACCGAGAACAGGAAGAGCGACGACACCGACGCCAAAGCGATGACCAGGTAGACCGTGAGCGGGTCAGTCTGGGCCGCGGCGGCCGCCACTTCGGGCAGAGGCAGGTAGGGCTGCGAGAAGCCATCCACCAGCAGCACGTGCAGCGTGACGCTGGCTGACAGAGGCGGCTCGCCATTGTCCTTGACCAGCAGCAGCAGCCTGTGCTTGGCCGCGTCGCGCTCGCTCAGCAGCCGCGCAGTGCGCACCTCGCCATTGTGCGCCCACACGCTGAACAGCCCGGGCTCTGTGGCCTTGAGCAGCTGGTAAGACAGCCAGGCGTTCTGGCCCGAGTCGCTGTCCACCGCCACCACCTTGCTCACCAGGTAGCCAGGCTCGGCCGCCCTGGGCACCAGCTCGGTGCAGGGCGCAGAGCCGTTCTGCAGCGGGTACAGCACGAAGGGCGCGTTGTCATTGGCGTCCAGCACCTGCACGCGCACCAGCGCCTGGCTGCTCAGTGCCGGGGACCCGTGGTCTGTGGCGCCCACCAGGAACTCGAATGCCTGCAGGGCCTCGAAATCCAGCGCCCTCAGGGCGAACAGGTGTCCGTTGTCGGCGTTGATGGACACCAGCGAGTCCAGGGGCAGGCTGGGGTCCTGGGGCTGCAGCAGCGAGTAGGTGACCTGGGCGTTGGCGCCTGCGTCTCTGTCTGTGGCGCTGAGGCTGCCCATGTGCAGGGCGGGGCTGTTGTTCTCTGGGATGAAGAGGCTGTAGGAGGTTTGGGTGAAGGCCGGGGCGTTGTCGTTGACGTCGGAGACCAGCACAGTTATGTTGTGCTGGGTTTTCATTCTGGGAGTCCCCATGTCTGTGACGGTGATGGTGATGTTGTACTCGGCCTGGTGCTCTCTATCCAGAGCTCCTTCTGTTACCAAGGTGTAGAAGTTTTCTAAGGTAAGTTTCAGAAGGAAGGGGAGATGGTCTTGGATGAAACACATCATTTTGCCATTGTCTCCCGAGTCTGGATCTGAAATTTCGAAAACGGCTACCACAGTATCAGGGGTGTTTTCTGGGATCTCACTGGTGAGTAATGAGGTGGTCAGTTCCGGGGCGTTGTCATTTACATCCATCACTTCTATGGCCACCGTGCATTTTCCTGAAAGCCCCCCTCCATCTGAGGCCTCAATTTCCATACTGTAAGACTGAATTTCCTCAAAGTCCAACATTCTTTTTAATCGAATTTCTCCCGTGACTGAATTTATTTCAAACACCTGAATGACTTGATTTGAGGATTGGAAAAATGAGTAGGAGAGCTCTCCGTGGGTCCCAGCATCTAAATCCCTAGCGGAGACAGTGACAACAAGAGAGCCTATGGGGCTGTTCTCTGAGACCTGCACCTCATAGAGCGGCTGATCAAATTCAGGGGCATTGTCATTTATGTCCAGGACTACAATGAGGACACGGGAAGTCCCAGCCCTGGGTGGTGACCCCCCATCCAGCGCCGTGAGGGTTAACCTGAGCTCTGGCTGCTCCTCACGGTCCAGCGCTTTGTCCAGCACCAGCTCAGGGTATTTTCTGCCATCGCTGTGATTGCGAGTGATAAGGTGGAAGTGGGCATTGGTGCTAATTGTGTAGTTCTGAACTGTGTTGCTGCCCACGTCTAAATCCTGAGCTATTTTCAAAGGAAATGCAGTCCCTGGATGACTACTTTCCGGGATTTTCAGGGGGATTTCCTGTTCCAAGAATTCTGGGGCATGGTCATTTACATCTCGGAGTTGCAGTTCACCTTGAATAAACTGCAGTGGGTTTTTCAGTAACACCTGGAAATGCAGTATACACGGATCCGTGTCACCACACAGCTCTTCCCGGTCCAATTTTTCTTTTAGGAGCAAATTCCCACTCTTCTGCTCGAGCTGCAAATGCTGTTTGTTCCCTTTGGAAAGAATCCGGGCGCCGCGCGCGGCCAGCTCTCCTAAGCCTAGCCCCAGATCCTTTGCTAGGTTGGCCACAAAAGAGCCGCTGTCCCTCTCTTCTAGAACAGAGTATTTCAGGGTCGCACCGCCCGCCTCCCACAACAGTAATAGAATAATAATGGCGGTCACTTGCCTTTTCCGGGGCGCTTTGAGTAGCGGCATCTCCATCCTTCCTCCAGGTCCAAAAGTTCCAGTACTAAAGCACAAAATCATTGCTTTGTAGCGAACTCTGCTATTTTAGGTCGATAATCTTGAGTTATTTCTTAACATAGACTGGCATGAGGGTGGCGATGGCTGCCTCTTTGAACCGTATTATCCCCAGTGGTGTAAAATGTTTCCTTTGCCAGCTGCCGGAGACTGCTCCGCTTTCTGTAGTCTCGGAATCCCGGAGGCAGCTTTTACTCTCTTATCCTGCAGCTCCACCAAGCGTTCTGTTTTACAACTTCAGGTAGTTTTCATTTCCAAGCACAATTTAATAGCTAAAATGCTTCGAATGCCTTTTTGGGTCGGAGAATGTTATAAACTCCTTTCCTCCTCACCTATTATGCAGTCTTGTTCAGGTAGCTAACAAGAGCTGTGAGAGCACAGTGATGCCTATTTATCTACACTCATCTTCTTTATAAAGGTACACGTTCAGTATACAAAATTCAGCTGGAGACAAATTCATTGGGTCATTCAATAAGCATTTCTCTGTGCAGAAAATTTTGTAGCTTCTGGAGATAAAACGGTAAACGCAAAAATTCCTGCTCTTGAGAAGCATTCTCTTACAAAAATACTAATTTGTTCTATTGTGTTAGAAGTGTTGAATTTTTAAATCCAGTTTTTACTCCCAAATTAAAATGTGTCTGTAACATCTGAAAAAAAAATGTGATGTTGTGGCAGTCTCTGGGCTACATAGCTTTTGAGAATTTTTCTTCATAAATTCATTGTGTGTATGGCCCAGTAAAGTTGAGAGGAAATGGCCACTTGTTTTATCAGAAGTCAATAAAAGCTCAGAATTCAGGCAATGTATTTCAACAAACATGAAGAAGGCACTAACGTCAATGAGGTCAAATGTGTACTTTCCAGGGAAGGGTTTTGACCTATCAGCTTTGGATAAGGGCCTGTCCAAGCATGCATCTTCTGAGATAATAGAGATAGGGTTATCGGAAACCACGACTGCCTCCCCCAAAGCCATGTGAGGTGGGGTGAGAGTGTCAGACAGAGCAGTATCCCCTGAGGAAGAACACTGCTCCAAGGAGAGCGTGAAGACATGAGAATACGAAACAGCAAGTGTTCCCCACATGCTTCAAACCAACCCGTCATCATCAAAGACAAGTGACACAGCAGCTCACCTATTTGGGTACAAACCACAGACAAATACAACTCAGTTAAGCTCACTTCCATTTTAATTAAGGATAAAAATACAATATTCACTCACTTTTCACTTTATAAAGGATAAACTGCCTAATATTGATGGGAAATTGAAAAGATGAATGTTTTTCATAAAAGACTACAAATACAGTCAAATAAGGTTAAATTGTAAAAAGTAAATGATATTATGGTTAATAAAGATAAATGATGTATACACAGTGCTAGGAAGGAAAATATGACATTATATACCCAATAACCTGGCACTAATAACTCACTTAGGTCTTGGCAGGCCTCACATATATATTAGTAAAAGCTAAGAGGCTAGGAATAGGGGTTTGCAAAATATAATTTGAATTTTACTTAACAATACTTTTGAACTTTCAAATCATTGGACAAAGACAAGGAGAGAAAATGTACTCTTGAGCATTTTACATTCTGTAATAGAGCTTTGAGTTACTGGAAGTTGTTTCGAATTTAGAGGAAAAGTAAAAGAGTGGTCCTTAATAATTTCATTTTTGACAAGGGTACTAGAGTGTAAAGAGAATATTAACATTTCGGCATCACTTGAAAATTATTTTTTAATTCACTATAGGAATGTTAACACTTATCAAATGTTTATTAAGCATTTATAATCGGACTAGTGTTTTTAAAAAATCATATTCTTACATGAAGCTCACAAACTATAATTTAATGTGTTTACAGTTTTTAAAGTCTATATTCACAGAAAATATGTGTTTATGATTAGTTACTGAAATACACATAAATATGACTGGCTATCTTAGCATTTAGCCATCATTAGCATTCATCTTTATTTTATCACATTGTAGGAGTTACCCCCAAATGAGCAGTGTACCCCCTACACTGGCAAATTAAATAATATGAAACACTCACATTTAAAGCTTTTTCCTAATGGTAGTAGTAACTACAGTAGTCACCAATAGCTAGAAAGGCAGTCATACTTAAGAATTTTGGAATATAGCTTTTGTAAAAAGAGATGACTGAACTTCAAAATTTTTTAATTATTCAAATTAATTTTTACTCTTTATTCAGATTGTTCAATAAAACTGAATGAATAATTTTAAAGCTACTAAACATAATATAGGGAAAATATTGTGCATATGCAACATTTGAATTTCTTTTAATATCACCCTAAGGAACAGTAGTAAATTAATCAAGAAAGACACCATCAATAACATGTAATGTAAAGTTGTAAGAGATTTCCATATTTATTAAGTAAGGTTTAGTGGAACAATCCAATACTTAACTGAATAGGAGGCTATTCCAAAAGGTGGGGTTTTCCTTCAATTCCTTCCCAAGTCCCTTGAGAAGGGAAGCTGGGGAGAATCGGCTTCAGGAACTTGAACTCGCTGGCCTCTGAACCTCCGGTCAGGCATACCTCATACTGGTAGCTCTGGGACAGGGTTCCGGTGCCACGAACGTCCACCAGGTGGCTTGGAAACTGGGCCTCAGGCACCGAGCAGCCACCCACCAAGCCGGCCCTTCTCCTCCTGCACAGCCGCACCGCGATGAACGCCAGCACCGAGAACAGGAAGAGCGACGACACCGACGCCAAAGCGATGACCAGGTAGACCGTGAGCGGGTCAGTCTGGGCCGCGGCGGCCGCCACTTCCGGCAGCGGCAGGTAGGGCTGCGAGAAGCCATCCACCAGCAGCACGTGCAGCATGACACTGGCTGACAGAGGCGGCTCGCCATTGTCCTTGACCAGCAGCAGCAGCCTGTGCTTGGCCGCGTCGCGCTCGCTCAGCAGCCACGCAGTGCGCACCTCGCCATTGTGCGCCCACACGCTGAACAGCCCGGGCTCTGTGGCCTTGAGCAGCTGGTAAGACAGCCAGGCGTTCTGGCCCGAGTCGCTGTCCACCGCCACCACCTTGCTCACCAGGTAGCCAGGCTCAGCGGCCCTGGGCACCAGCTCGGTGCAGGGCGCAGAGCCGTTCTGCAGCGGGTACAGCACGAAGGGCGCGTTGTCATTGGCGTCCAGCACCTGCACGCGCACCAGAGCCTGGCTGCTCAGCGCCGGGGAGCCATGGTCTGTGGCGCCCACCAGGAACTCGAATGCCTGCAGGGCCTCGAAATCCAGCGCCCTCAGGGCGAAGAGGTGTCCGTTGTCGGCGTTGATGGACACCAGCGAGTCCAGGGGCAGGCTGGGGTCCTGGGGTGGCAGCAGCGAGTAGGTGACCTGGGCGTTGGCGCCCGCGTCTCTGTCTGTGGCGCTGACGCTGCCCATGTGCAGGGCGGGGCTGTTGTTCTCTGGGATGAAGAGGGTGTAGGAGGTTTGGGTGAAGGCTGGGGCGTTGTCGTTGACGTCGGAGACCAGCACAGTTATGTTGTGCTGGGTTTTCAGTCTGGGAGTCCCCATGTCTGTGACAGTGATGGTGATGTTGTACTCGGCCTGGCGCTCTCTGTCCAGCGCTCCTTGTGTTACCAAAGTGTAGAAATTCTCCACTGACGGTCTTAGAAGAAAGGGGATGTTGTCATCTATAGAGCAAATAACCTGCTGGTTATGTCCGGAATCTGCATCTGATACACTGAAAACCGCCACTATTGTCTCGGGCTGGTTTTCAGGGATGGGGCTGCTGAGGGACGACATGGTCAGTTCAGGGGCGTTATCATTCACGTCCAGAACCTTGATGATTACAGAGCATTTTCCTGATCGTCCCCCACCATCTGTGGCATCAACATCCACATGATAAGATGTAAATTTCTCAAAATCCAACATCTTTCTCAGTCGAATTTCTCCTGTGATTGCGTTTATTTCAAAGGGTTGGTTAACATCATCAGCCTGAAATAGAGCATAAGATACTTCTCCATAGGATCCTGCATCTAAATCTCTCGCTGAGACGGTGATAACCAGAGAGCCAAGGGAGTTGTTTTCGGGGACTTGTGCTTCATAGAGCTCCTTAGCAAACTCAGGGGCGTTGTCATTAATGTCCAAGACCCGGATCTGAATCTCTGCGGTCCCTGACCGGGGCGGAGACCCACCGTCCAACGCGGTGAGGGTTAGCCTGAACTCCGCCTGCCCCTCGCGGTCCAGCGCTTTGTCCAGTACCAGCTCTGGGAACTTTCTGCCGTCACTGCGATTGCGGGTGAGAACGTGGAAGTGAGAATTGGAGCTGATTACATAGCTCTGAAGGCTGTTGCTACCCACGTCTAAATCCTGCGCCATTTTCAAAGGAAATATCTTTCCGGGCGTAGTAATTTCTGATATTTGTAGTAGCATTTCTCTAGCCGGGAACTCCGGGGTGTGGTCATTTATGTCCCTGACTCGCAAGACCGCCTGGAAAAACTGCAAGGGATTTTCCAGCAACACCTGGAAGGGGAGCAGACACGGCTCAGTGGAGCCGCACAGCTCCTCCCGGTCCAGTTTTTCATTTAGCAGCAAATCATATGTCTGTGGGTCAAGCTGCAAACGCTGTCTGTTCCCCTTGAAAACAAGCCGGGCTCCCCGAGCGGCCAGCTCCCCGGTCCTGAGTCCCAGGTCCTTTGTCAAATTAGCCACAAACGTGCCAACTTCTGTCTCCTCCAATACAGAATACTGAATCGATTCTGAACCCACCTCCCTCAAAACCATCAACATAATGAAAACTGTCACTTGCCTTTTGTTGCGAGGTGCGTTTGTTCGCGCCATCTCTATTGTTATGTCTGATCCGAGGAAAAATCCTTTTTAATTCCCAGTCACCAGGTCCACCGTCGACCCTCCAAAATATCTTTGCTAAAGACTTTCTAATTCTTTTTTAAAAAACTCGTCTGGCGGTGACTGCCTTCGCAAACACATTTATTTTGGCTTTAGCTTAAGTGTATTTTTCCCCCTTTGGGTTTCTCCGTGAAAGGGCGTCCTCCGAATTCGCAGAGCTTGGATTTACTCTCTTAGCCTGCAGTGCCACCACGCGTTCAAATCAATAACTTCAAGAGATGTTTGCAGGTCAATACC